TGTTTTATATTTTACTAAAAATTATCTGTGAGCCGATGAGCAACTTATGTAGCGATGATAGAGATAAATAAAATATCACTGATCTCAGAGAGAGAGAGAGACAGAGTACACTTCTATCTGCAGGCTCACTCTCCAAATGGCCATAATGAACAGAGCTTCGCTGGTCTGAAGCTGGGAGCCAGGAGCTTCTTCCATGTGTCCTACATGGTGCAGGAGCCCAAGTCCTTGGACCAGCCTACACTGCCATCCCAGGGTATTATCAGGTAGCTGGATTGGAAGTGGAGCAGTCAGGACTAGAACAACATCCATATGAGATGCCAGGACTGCTCCAGATTAGCTTCTTAAATCACTGTGCCAAATTCCAAATCTCAAATTTCTAAAGAAGAGATTTTAAACTATAACCATGTAATATATCAAAAAGACTATATAAATAGATACATACTTGCAGATAAATTTTATATAAATAAATGATATATATTTTTATTACCAAAAAAAAGAAGTATCAGTACACACTCCAAAATGAATTTACTGTTGATTGGAAAAGATTTCAGAAGAACAATAATGATTTTATTGTGGCTCCTGTAAATCCTTTCTGGGGAATAATAACAAAATACAGGAATGAATCATTAGTTTCCAGTCAGGGTTTTTAATACTTAACTTACCTTAATTCTTCTGTCCTTTTGTGGGTAATAACCATGCATTTACTTAAATGTGGCATTTCTCTATCACATTATACAGATATTTTATGTAGGAAACTTTGACCTGAACAGCTACTAGGTGTTGATTAGATCGTTAGAGAGATTCTTTGATTTTGAAAACAAAATAGTGTACTTCTGTGTTTTGGTGTATATTTCTGTTATCTTTTGGTGCAAGATTTTTCTTAAGTTAGTCAGTGAAAGCAAATTTTTAAACTTTTAAAATATTTCTGTAAAGGGGAAGGTGTCATAAGTCAATCCTATAAGGCATTGCCTGACTTTGCGGTCGGATATGAAATTCAAGAAAGATTGTGCCTTTTACAACCTGAGCTAGTCACCCAATCTTCAGTGATCCCCTCTGGAAATAACATCAGCAACAAAATTTAACACTTCAAAGAAATTTAAAAAATTAATTATTGAAGGAATATAAGTTCACCATATGGATCAAAAAAAATTTTTTTAAAAAAAAGATGTTATTAATTTGGAAAAGCCAATAAAGAGAAAGAAAGATGTAGTCTACTGGTTCATTTCCATTTGTCCACAATGGCTGGCATGGGTCAGTCTGAAGTCAGGAGCGAGGAGTTTTTTTCTGAGACTTTCATGCCGATAGAAACCCAGACGCTTGGATGTTTTCCACTGGTTTTGTTCCAGGCCTTTAGCAAAGAGCTGGATCACAAGCAGTTCAGCGGGGAATCTATAGTCCCAAGTTGGATACTGGCATTGCACACAGTAGCTTCACTCACTATGCTACAATGATGTTCTTCCTCCCCTGAGTTTGGCTTTTCTATATATGCAGGTTTATCATAAGGGCATGATGGAAAGAATGAGAATGTGACTGGGGTTTTAGAGTTTATACTACATGCTTGTGAAGCCTGATATGAGAAAGAAGTATTAGTATTTTATACACTACGTTGTGCGCATTGCCTTCCTGTGGCTGTGAGTATGTAACAACACTATTTCAAATTCTACATAAAAGAAGCCTAGATTTCTCCGTTCAGTTTTGTATTCAACTGTTTAGCAAAGATAGCTCGTATCTGGATAGATTTTTAAAGCCAACTCCCGATTGTATTAAAACTCGGGTGCATGGAAGTTTTATTGTTCTCAATCATTGCTGGTTTCTTAATGAAACCCTAAAGATTTTTTTTTCTTCAAACATTGCTAACGTTGAGTTTCCAACTTGTACTAGGCTAAGGTTTTGAAAATGTCTCTTTAATAGAAAACAAAAATCTGAGTGAGAAACCCATGTATTGCACCTACAGTAGCGACTGAAATTGTGTTAAACCTAATTGAAATACACACAATTTTCAAGTACAGATCCTACCAACTCTTTTCAAAGTCGGTTTATTTGATCCACGTGGACTTCACGCTATCCATATAAAACTTCTGACTGATGACTGATCATTGTTGCGATTCTAGCGTGACTGTCTTGGTCACAGCTCTGAATGATCAGAGTGAGATTTTAAGCCTTTTTAACATGTCCATTTATCTAATCAATTTGAAAGGCAGGGAGAGGGAGAGAGACCTCCCTACTGCTGGTTCTCTCCAACCTTTGAGCGACAACAAACAAGGTTTGGTCAGGCTGAAGCCAGAAGTCAGGACCCTCCATCCAGCTGTGGCTGGGAGCCAGCTCCATCCACCCTCCCGGATATGAGAAAACAGGACCTGCAAACTCCTATACCAGACACAGACACCCCAAGAAGCAGCTTAGCCAGCACCCCAAATGCCCACCGGCACCAGCTTCTTGTACAGTCACGTTTTCCTGGGGCATATCTTATGTTGAACGCATCCTTCTCAACCCATCATTTATGAGTTTGTGTTCAAGTAGAGCAAAACACGTGGGATCCGAATTCTTTTGGTAAGACTTGACCCTATCATGTAGTAGCTGATATCATAAAAGATAGAGCTGGTGTGAAGTGACTGCCACTTTTAGTAGGTAATTAGGAACTCAAGATGATGAGTTTGGGCCAGAAAAGGCAATTAACTGTAACCAAATATATTTCACTTATATAAACTCTTCTATGTGAAATCATTTATCACAGGCTACATAAAGATAACCTTGTGTAAGATACAAAGTAGTGTATCCTTCAGCCCTAGATGACGGTAATTGGGTCAGTCTCCAACTTGGTCTTCTGATTTCTCTGTGTCTCAGTGGATAAGAGACAGGGAATGTACTAAGTATAAAGTGGAGCTTCTCCTCTGCCTCATTGATGAGTGGCCATAAGGAAATTCTTTCAAGTGAAGCTCTCTGAGATCCCTGTTGAAGATCTGGAAAGCCGGCATGATATGCTAATGTCTGCGCTGTTTGCGATTAGGGAGATGATATTCAGAATTCTTTTCTATTGCATCAATGGTAGAAGATTGGACTGAAAAGGAGAGGGGGTTGGATAGAATGGAGAAGAATGAGGTAGATTTGGCCATTGCAGACCCCTAACCCAGTCCAGATGTTTTAAATGAAAGTTTCACCTTTCCCCCCCCACCAATTAAATATTGTAAATTTTGTACATTTAAAGAGTACTGGAATTATTCTTTGAATGCTTCTTAAAGAGAGCGATGTGTTTCATTCGTTTTAGTCTGTTTTTCTGTCGCTTTCAAACACGCTGGGACATCATAGGAACTCTAATTGTTCCAACGTGGCTGACCATTTGTGTTGTTTTTGTTTATTAACAAAAGGATCAGCTAGGGTGAACTAAGTTAAGTGGCACCTCCAAAATGTCCCCAGCCAAACAAAAGACTTCCTCGAACCGGTTGCAACTGAGTGAATATTTCCTAATGCTTTCCAGTAGGGGGAACTAGAGACTCACCGTCCGGCGTTCCGCCGGTTACCGGGGCCGCCTGCGTCCCTCTAAGCCGCCTTCTAATCAGCGGAGCAAGCATCAAACAGCTCGCAGCGAGCCTGTGATCACACGTGGGCCGGCCACACCGGCGGCCAGGCCAGGGCGCCCAGCCCCTGGCATCCCTTTGATCTACCGTGGGGCTTCCTCAGCCTGCCCCGGTGCCCGGACGGAATCCACTCGGCGGCTTTTGCCTTCATGCTTGGGGGTTTGTCCTTTGGGGGCTGAAATCGGACTCTTTTGGGGGGGGTGCTTTAGTAGTTCAGCTGTGTTATCGGCTTCCGGGATCGGAGCTGGTTTTTCCCAACTTCCTTTCAGAGGTGCTGGTCTCTGGGCGGGTGAAGGCTTGGGATACTTCGCCCAGGGTCCGGGATCCCCACTTCCCACTTGCAGTATCCTGTGCTGAACCCCCTCACTTCCCCCAAGCCCCCGATCAGAGTCATCCGGCAGCCTCCAGGCAGAGAGGACGCTCCTTTCCTTGGTCCCTCGGTCCTTCCTCCTCCCGGAGCCAGCGGGGACACAGACGTGGGTTACCGCGGCCCGGGATGAGCACGGACACTCCTGTCCCACCGTCAGTTTATTATTTATTTATTTATTTTTAGCGAGTAGGGCGCACACACCCAGACAGGCTTTCCGCTCCAAAAGGTGCTAACCCCGTTTCCTTTCCTTTTGCCGGCTGCCTCCCAGCCTCTCATTTTAGCTAAAAGGTGCAGACTGAGTGTTGTTGTGATATTAACGGGTAATGACGCTGCGCCCTGGGTGCTGGAGGACGAGCTTTTTCCAGAAAGCGCGTGCAGCTCCGGCAGACGGAAGGATGAATAATTAGGAAGGGCTTCCATGAAATCACTCACCGAGAAAATTACCTGCCCATTAAACGGGGCCGCTGCGAGGAGCAGGAGGCTAGAGCCCACCTATCCCCTCCGGAGGTGGCGCGGAGGGGAGGAGGAGAACGGCGAGGGGACCCCGAGGAGAGGCCGGAGGTGACCTGTGGCCTCGGCACGGGGCAAAGCCAGCGGGGCTCCGAATTCGTTCCCGGTTGCCCCTTGCAGGACTCGTTCCCTGGGCTGGTGCCCCCCGCCTCCTGCCCGGGAGGGTGGAGAAGTGGGGCGGTGGAGGACTCAGCGCACCCCCCAAGCAGCCCCCGCCCCCCTCGCCGGGCCGACTCCGAGCAGCTTTTTTTTTTCCCTCCCCTCCCCGTCCGCCTCCTCGCCTTCACTCCTCTAAGTCCTGCCAGCCGCGGCAGCTGCACGAGGAGGCGGACGCTCTGCTGCCGGGCTGCCGGAGCGGCGGCCGCGGGGTCCGGGCGAGCGGCTGGAGCGCGCGCTCAGGGTCTGCCCGACTGGGCTCCGGCCGCGCAGGGCGCTGGGCGCACACTCGCCGAGAGGCGGCCCCGCGGGGGTGGCCTCAGCCTCCGCCCGGCACCTCCCTCTCTCCCTCCTTCCTTCTCCTTTCCTCCCTCCCCGCTGCCTCACCACGTAGGAGTTGGGAATCTCTACCCGAGTCGTGCAGATTTCCTTTTTCCTCTCTTTTGAGAGAGAGAAAGAAGCACCGAGACTGCAAAGGAGAGGCCCCGCCAGGTTCTGCCCGCCTGCAAAGTGTTGCTTTGACATATGCTTATGATGGAAGTTCAGTGAGAAATTGTTATTATTTTTCCAAGAAACTCCAGAAGGAGAGCTGCTACGGAAGCGACCCGGGGAAGGAAAAATCCCGTAGGCAGGCCAATGGTTTTTCGGCAGAGTGCTGGCAAGTTTGTGGAGCACTTTCTAGGAACTAGGTCTTTTTCCTCCCCCTTTATCTTTTTGACTTGTGAAGAAAGAACTTGCTTTGGATTGCAATGGAGCATAAGAAGAGAGGGTTAGATGCACTTGAATAATCCCTCCAGCTGGGTTGAATCGGTGGGAATTTAGGGAGCCCGCGAGTGGAAGCGTAGCAGGCATTCTGCGTGGATCTCCATGTGCCCCATTCAAGAGCCGTCTCCACCAACCCTTCCGATCTTGGGATCTGCTCTGCTTGACTTCGGGCCCTATCTAGGAAAGTCTAAACTTTGGACCTACCTCTTTTTTTGATACTTATTTTTGTACTTTTGCTCTCTGGGATTGGTTTCTAAAAGCAATCTGGATCTCCCTTTTTTAAAATATGTCAAAATGAGTCTGCTGATGTTTACACAACTACTGCTCTGTGGATTTTTATATGTTCCAGTAGACGGTAAGTTAAAGATGCTTTTATCCTTTATTTTGACCCTCCTGTCCCCACTTCCCTCGCAGAAAAACTCAGTCTAGCTCTTTCGGAGTCCAGCTTGGGTTGTAAATAAAATGTCATCATGCCTGTTTATCCGTTTGGGGCAGCCACTGGGGCTTTGAGAGTAGAGGCTTTAAGGCTTTTGTTCCTAAACCGCTGTAAGTGGAACATGTTAGTAACCACCTATTGTTATTGCTGCTGTAATTTAATTGCTCGAGTTGGGTAATAAATGATGGGCTTCCAGCTTTGTTAGAAAGGCATGCTGATTTTTTTTTTTTTTTTGAACAAGCACATTACTATGGTGCCTACTCTTCATTTGCTGGCTGATATGGTGCCTGAACTTTGGCTCAGAAACACAAGTGGAGAAATCGAGTAAATAGACGCTGGCAGGAAGACTCAGTGATTGGGCATTCCAGCCTGGGTTTCTCAGGGATCAATGAGCAGCACCTGTATGCCGGAGACTGGTTTCCTAACGGACAAGGAGAAGGGAGAATTTGAATCACAGGGAGAAAACTGTCAAAAGTGAGACTGGGCGAGGCTCCAAGAAGGAGGTAGCATCAGCTGTGGGCTGGCGGAGGAAATAGAGCCCTGAGCTCTGTCCTCAGTGGACGAAATAATGGGCATCTCCAACAGGTGCTGTAGGTGGCTCCCTCCCTCTGTAGGTCAGGCACACGGCATTCCGCTCCAGATCCTACTGTCTTTTGTTCAGATTCAGTTTCCTTACCACAGATTTCAGAGGATGTGAGTTGCTTCTGAGATTATGGCAAAATCCTTTTAGGGGAACTCTTTTAATGGAAGAATGGATATCGTTGTTGACCTTTGTTGTTGTTGTTGTTGTTGGTTTCCAAAAAAGACTGTCAAAAGGATGCTTGCTGCGAACCTTGCAGAGACTGAACGTTTTCTGTCATTGGAAAGCATGAGTAAATCAGTAGGAAAACAGCTTGTCTTCCAACATCCCACATCGAGTATAGAGTTTGAGATTAATTTCTTTTCTTGGGGTATACTCTGGTCTATGGTTTGAGACATTTGAGCTATCATAATAGCTTGTTGCCACATAAACTTTCCTGTAGCATCTGCATTGGGGATGAATTCATTATTTGGGACACTGCCTATTTTTTCCTGTCTTTGGGTGCTAGCTTGGTTGTTGGCAGCTATGCCTGCATAGATCCCAATGAATGGGACTCAGAAAGGCAGCTTTTCTGTAAACAGGCAATGAAGATGAGTTTACCTACTGTTGAGTAGCTGTTTTCAATCATGGGCTACATCAGTATGTTTACCCACACCACTTGACAGTACGCAAGGGGCACATCTATGTGCCCTGCTTCTTTCTTCCCTCTAAGTACTCTAGGTTTATGAATTAACCTTTGCTATTGTGGAAATGACTAGCATCTTATTATCACTGCCCCTTTTTCTTCTTCAACACATCTACCTTTAGGATACATTGAGATTACCATAAGCAAAAGGGTTGCATATTTGTCTCAAATCTGTTTGATTATCATGATAAGCAGACTTTGGCACAACTTTTTAAGTAATATGTCCTTATGAACCATTAATTTACATATCTCAATGACAGAAATGTATGTATAAACTGTTTAGTACATTACATAATTATCACTAAGGTTTTTTTTTTAATCACTATGTTGCTATGAGGAATACAATTAAATCGCTCAGTGGAAGTGACAGGGAATCAGAAGAGCTTTGTGTTACAGAATGTAATTAATGTACTGGGGAGTTTGGAGATACAGGAAACAAATGCAATTAACCAGCTTGCGGGGATAGCAAGACATCATGTCTCGCTTCATTCCGTCCCTCTTCTCTTCATTCCTCCCTCCTCTTCCCTCTCTCCCTTCCTATCCTCCCTTCCACACCATTCCTCTACTGCTCTAAAGAACTACCTAGAATGTTTGTTCTCATTTAACAGTGTAGCATAGGGAAGAGATTTGTGTCTGGGCCACAGTTATGCAGTAGAATTCCTAGTAATGTAGTGAATAACATTTGAGGAGGTTAAGGAATTGAGATTGAAAAGGCAATGTCAAAGTGTGTGTGTGTGTGTGTGTGTGTGTGTGTGTGTGTGTGTGCGAGCAGCTAGCTTTGTAAGTTAGTGTTTACTAGGTCAAAAGTAAAGGGAACTGAGAGGAGTCTTACTGAATTAGTGTATTAATTATACATTTGACATTGGGTTGCCTTTGGATACTTCAGAGCGCTGACAGTCTTTCTATGGGGATTGTTGAAATTTGGGATGTAGGCAACACTGCCCCCTAGGCTGTCTTAATACATTGGGACTAAGCCTTCCCATACAGGCTGAGTAGGCTGGTTTGTAGGATCTCTAAGCTTTGTTACCCTTCCAGGATCCCATGATTTGTATTTACTTATTACCCTTCTTGGAGGTGTGTACATATTCTCCACATGAATTTCAAATTTAGAGAAGCTTGTACCATTTCAAAGATATACTGACTATCCTTGTGCTAGACAGAGAAATTAATTTTATTCAGTGACAAATGATACACACATTTGCATTAAAATTTGCTTGGTGGGTTATTTATATGTATGAAAAAATGCTAAGTTTGGCCTCTTCATAGAAGATGCATGCTAATATTATTTATGATTTTTAGTATCCTGCCCTTGTAACAGTCCATAGGAGAATGAATATTAAGTTAGTGGAGAACTGCAGGCGAACTTCTCCGTCTAGGATGTAAATAAAAATACTTTTATTAGCTACAGATTAATTAACTACATGCATATTTTTGTTCAGGGTTACATAAGAGAATCTGTATTGAGTTTAGGATTTACTTTTCTAAACTTCTCTGTTTCAAAACAGGAGTAGAGCTTTTTAGTTTTTTTTTTTTAACAAAGAAATAGCTTGAATGATCACAGGACATTTAAATGCCGGCTTTATTGCGTTCATTATGTCGTCCGATAATTTTACAATACTGTGAAGACATGGTTCAAAAATGGAGGTGGTTTTCTCATCTTGTTAACAGTTCTGAAGTGAAAATGGCACGTAAGATGTATGGGCAGAGAAAGATAATGCGTGTGTGTAGTGCGGATGTATAATTTCTTCTATACGTTTATACATTTTGCTAAAGTGCTTCTTTCAGTAATGGGCTCATTATCGTAGCCATATGTAGTCTATTTCGGAACTTAAATTACATATAAGTAACCTGAAATTTGTTCTTGCAGCAATGCAGTAATATCATGTCTGAATTGACTTTGTTTGAATAACCTTTGATGCTATGCAACACGTGGACCATAAAACAAAAGGATTTCTTAGAACATTAAGCAGGAATATCTTGAAGAAAAGTTAAAGTCATGATAATACACAGAACAGTTCTGGTTATTTCATTCCCTGGGAAGTCTACATAGCAGCATCTTTGATAATAAAAACATGAATATGTAGATACATCGCTTTAATTTGGATACAGGAAGAAAGTGAAGGAGCTCTGTATTTACAGTAATATGTGATATCTTTCTTTTTTAATATATTTTCCTTTTTATTTCTTCTTTTCCTTCTCTTTTCTACTTCCCAACTTCCCTTGTTTTTCTTCTACTACTCTTTCACTTTTTGGGGTTTATTGTTTGTTTTTGTTTTATGTTTGGTCTTAGTGAAAGGAAGTAAGAAACATTAGTGAGGGAAGAAGATAGATGATACTGATTATTTAATATAAAATCTGCATTTAAAGAGATATGTTAATATACATTGTAATGTTTCATTTTTTGATTATCTAGTTGTGTTTTTCCTTCTTCACTTAAAAAAAAGAGATAAATTGAAAACAAGATTTACAGACAGAGAGTAACAGAAGGATCTTCTTTCTGCTGGTTTACTTCTCAAATAGTCACAATAGCTAGGAATCCAGGAGTCTGGAGCCTGATTTGGGTCTTATACATGGGTGGCAAGGGCCCAGGAACCAGGCCATGTGCTATGACCTTTCTAAGCAAATTAGCAAGGAGCTGGATCAGCGCTGGCCCACCTGTGGGCTGCTGGCTCTGCGGGTGATGGCTTAACCCTTTAGACCACAATGCTGACTTTAAGCATTTAGACCATGATCTCACTGACTTGAAGTGTTCATTCATGAAATATGTCTCAGATTACCCTAACTGCATGGGGGGATATAAGATCCCTGAGAATACAATTTGCTTTGTCTGTGTAGTCTTATCTCCCCAGTACCTGGAACTGTAATTGATGTATCCCCAGATAATTGAAGTGCACACCATTTTGTGTATGTATTTGTGTGTGTGTGTGTGTGTGTGTGTGTGTGTGCATGTGTGCGTGTGCGTGTGTTTGGTTCCTGTTCCGCTACCCCATAGTTGTTCTATGAGCACTTGCAAACATGTTATAAAGCAGAAAGAATGTTGCAGACAACAGGTAGATGTTCCCACTCACATTCACTATTTTACAATACTGTCAGAATCAAGGAGATCCCATCCAGGATTAATCCAGGATTAAGCTTATAGCAAAACTGGGAGCTTGGAACTCAGTCTAAGTCTCTTATATAGGTGACAAAGGCTCAACTTCCCATGGTCTTTGTAGCAGGAAGCAAATCAGGAGCTACAGCCCAATATCGGTATCTAAACTAGGATATGGGATTAACACCTCAACTGCTAGGCCAAACATTTACCCCTTGGAACTGGTATCTTAATGTCCCTCCTGGCAGAGTACAGAGCCTGTCACAGCTGCTTGATTACTAGCTGAAGACATTAGATTCCCTGTTGAGATGAAGAATATCTTGATGTGTGCCACAATAAACAGTATGACTTATGTTTGTATTGATTCATATAGCTCCAAGCCTCCCATAGAGGCCACATGGAGGGTCCAGGTATGAAAAATTCTTAGTGGGTTAGCCTCACAGCTCAGGAACCCTGATCTTGAGACCTGGGTATTTTATAATGGGTAATAAGATAACTTGCCTAACCTTTGACCAGAAGAAGACATTATCTTTATTATATTCGACACTAAGCAAATTTGCCTT